CATGAAATGTTCCCTTGGTATCTCTAATTTTCTTGAAGAGATCTCTAGTCTTTCCCATTCTGTTGTTTTCCTCTATTTCTTTGCACTGATCACTGAGGAAGGCTTTCTTATCTCTCCTTGCTATTCTTTGGAACTCTGCATACAAATGGGTATATCTTTCCTTTTCTCCTTTTGCCTTTAGCTTCTCTTCTTTTCACAGCTATTTGTAAGGCCTCCTCAGACAGCCATTTTGCTTTTTTGCATTTCTTTCTCTTGGGGGTGGTCTTGATCCCTGTCTCCTGTACAATGTCACAAACCTCTGTCCATAGTTCATCAGGCACTCTGTCTATCAGATCTAGTCCCTTAAATCTATTTCCCACTTCCACTGTATAATCGTAAGGGATTTGATTTAGGTCATACCTGAATGGTCTAAGTGGTTTTCCCTACTTTCTTCAATTTAAGTCTGAATTTGGCTGCTCCAGCCACCTACACAGTGGCCCCAACACAACTGTGGTGGAGAAAGGCACCGGGGGGTATGCAGAGGTAGAGTCCTTGAAAAGTCTCACTCCAGCAGGAGAGGACAATGCCTGGTTTGGCAAAGCCCCACGTTCTTTTACACATCTTAGCCCCCACCTCACCTTTCAGTTAATCACTGTCCTGGAAATCCAAGGCAACATATTTTAAGTTCCAGTACTGACTGTCAAGGTTATCTGATCTGTGCATGGAGTTCATCCAAAACAATGGGTGAACCAAGAATAATACGATTTTGCCTGGTTCTTAGTGCTTTCATATGGTGAAACTTAATCAAGACTTATACGGAACTCTAGAATTTCATGCCTGAAGGGTAAAAGTTCTTTAGAAACTGCAGTCTGCTCTTGGAGAGAACATTTCTTTTACTTACAACCATGGCAACAGAGGTAACCTTAGAGGTGCTGGGCAAGCTCACACTTGAGAAAGGGATCACCTCAAAGACAGGGGTAATGGGATCCTTCAGTGGGTTTCCATGACTGTCAAGGATAAACAAAGAGAAGTGGAGGCGAGAGTCAAATGATGTAGCTGAATGCACAGAGGTAACAGGAAACAGTACCAAGTGCTGGGGCTACAGTCCCACTGCTAATTTAACTGGATCATGGATTCCACCACTAGGTCACTGAGTTCAGGCTGCACTTTGGACATCTTATCCTTGTCCTGGGCTTCTTGGCCCAGTTGACCAAGACATCATGCTAATGAGGTGAACTCTAGGTTTTGATTCCCAAGTAGGCGAAGAGAATAAAAGAACGTTTTAGAACTTGCAAGGCAACTTAGTGAAAAATGACTCCTGTGATTTAACCTTCTCAGTGATGGCACTGAAGAACAGGAACAAGAAGTATACTACTCAGTCTCCCAGCAGATGTTAACTCTGCACTCTTTTGCTCTACCATGCATTAGTTAACTTAATTAGCTATGACTCCAGTGCAAACCTCACCAGGAATCTTCTAAAAGCAAGCTTCTGGTAAAAATGGAATCAGATGAGGCCAGAAAAATGACTCCAATGCCACTTACACTGTTGGTAGGACAGCATGTCACCATCAAACATACACATTGACAGTAGAATGGGAAAGCTATTTCTGAAGACCCATTCTGCATTTTCTGTATTGATACAGTCCTCCATGGAAACTTATTCTGCACTATAGCAGTGAACATTAATAATCTGGTCACAGATATTAGGACTGAGAACTACTTGATAAAGTGTTGAGAAATCCCAGTTTGTTTCCAAGTCAGTGACTTTAGGGTTAAATCTACAAAAAAAAAAAAATTAACTTGTAGAACATCAACAAACAAATGTAGAAGAAATGAAAGAGATAAAAAAATTACTGTTTGCAACAATTATAGTACTGATGTACTGATTGATGTAGTATTGATGCAGGCAATAAACTTCAATAAATAAAAATAATGACTGTTTTTATATATATATT